ACACTACTAGAAAAATTAAAATTAGAGAGGGAACAAATCCGTCACTAATCTTCATAAAATCCGTCACAAATAAATTAGTGACGGAATTTGTGACGGAAATGATTCCGTCACAAAATTTGGCGTCACAAAATATTTAGTGACGGATTATTTGCTCCGTCACAATTAGTGACGGAATTAAGGCATCACAAACAGTATAATTTCCGTCACTAATTTCTAACAATAAATGTTTAAAAATTAATAAAAATCCGTCGCAATTTGTGAGAGATTAAATCCCTCGCAATTTCTGAGGGATTATACCCCTCGCAATTTGAGAGGGATTGAGAGGTATGTGAGTCCCTCACAAATTGTGATGAACGAATCCGTCACAATTTGCGACGAAGAAAATCCGTCACAAACTGTGATGCCTATTATTGAGTAGAATCCGTCACAATTTGCGACGCCATAATTCCGTCACAATTTGCAACGGATAAAATCCGTCACTAACTGGGTTGAATCCCTCACAAACTGGGTGTCTTTAATGAGGAAACTATTGTTTTAAGAGTCTAGCAGACAATGAAAATCATATGTTTGAAATTTACTTTTTAAAAGGTTCTCTTGTAATCGATTACCCATTTCTTGTAATCGATTACCACATATAGCATATATTGGTGCAAAAAAGATAACCAAAGGCAACACAAAACAGAAATCAATAAAGAACATCGATCCTTTGAATACGTTTAGTAGTGGATTACACCAAAAACATAACTCAAACAATCAAGAGATCCTTAAATATATCGATGAACTGTTAGAAAATGATACTGTGGAGTGTTAAATTAGCAGGAGAAGACAAAACGTTTAACGTTGAGCTATAATCTTTAATGAAGAAACATTACAGGATATAATTCCAATCGAAGTTATACAACTATTATCCAATGTAAAACTAGAGAAACATCCTACATTACAGAACCAAAGCCATTGAAAAGAACAAATTGTTCAGCCTCCGAATCCATAGAGGGTCCTTCCCTGTCTCTTGAGCGCATAAACAACATTGTTCATCGTCGTTGTGCTTGGTGGTGACGATTACTTTCTCGGCGACGAGGTAGGCGGAGTAGAAACCAATGCCGAATTGACCGATCATGCTGACGTCAGCACCAGCCTGCAAGGCCTCCATGAATTCCTTGGTGCCAGACCGTGCAATGGTTCCCAAATTGTTCACCAAATCTGAAGCACACACAATTAATTAATTAACAAACAGAGTATTGATTAATTAATAGTAACTAAGGAGAAGGCGCATGCATTACCTGCTTTGGTCATGCCGACGCCAACGTCCATGGCAGTAACAGTCTTCCTCCTAGCGTGCTCGGTGTAGGTGACAGCATCGCGAATCACGTTCTCCAAGAAAATCTTGAGAACTCCTCTGGTCTCTTCGTAGATCAAACCACTGATTCTCTTAACACCACCTCTTCTCGCCAACCTACGAATCGTAGGTTTGGTGATGCCCTGAATGTTCTCTTAACACCCTCCGTGTTTCGAATTTGATCTTGGCCGTTAGATTTTAAGGTTAATCTACGGTTCAAGTTTGCGATCCGTGGACTAATGGATGGACAATTAGTGAACGTTGATAGATGGATTTCAACGGCTAGATATCGTTTCCAAAGGCATGCGCGGATCGGGATATCGTTTGCTTTTTTTGCTTTTCGAGTTTCGGTAACTTGAAGATTCATCAATCTTCTCCAAGTAGTTCCATCACGAGTTGTTCAGCCAAATCAGGAGACACAACATGCGTCTCAACCCAGAGAAGTGCGTCTTCGGCGTCCAGGGAGGTAAATTCCTTGGTTTCATGATCACTAGCAGGGGGATTGAGGCCAACCCGGAGAAGTGCAAAGCCATCATTCAGATGCAGAGCCCCCAGACCGTGAAGGATGTCCAACGTCTGGCAGGAAGGTTGGTCTCCCTTTCCCTTTTTATCCCCAGGTTGGCGGACAAGGCAAGGCCCATCTTCACCCTGCTGCGAAAGCCAAAGAACTTCGAATGGACAGACCAATGTGAGGAGGCTTTCATAAGCTTCAAAACCTTCCTCAAGACTCCGCCAATCCTTCAAAAGCCAGATCACCAAGCCGACCTCCTCCTCTATCTGGCCGTGGCAGAAAGCGCAATTAGCGCGGTTATAGTGCAAGAGCACCAAAAAATGCAGACGCCGGTCTATTTTATCAACCGAGTCCTCCAAGACACGGAGAAACGGTATCAGACGATTGAAAAGCTCGCACTGGCGCTTGTCACGGCAGCCTGGCATCTCCGACCTTACATCCAAAGCCACCAAGTGGTCGTCATGACCGACTACCCAATCAAGCAGATCTTGAGAAAGCCGGAGCTTGTCGGGCGGATGATAGCCTGGTCGGTAGAATTGTCCGAGTTCAGCATGCAGTATGAAAGCCACGGCGCCCTGAAAGCTCAATTCCTGGCCGACTTCGTAGCCGAACTCACGCCAACCTCAGTCGATGAACCACAGGTATGGACTTTACATGTTGACGGGTCCTCCAACTCTAAGGGTGGTGGTGCAGGTATCATCTTGGAAGGACCGAATCAAGTCACTCTATTGCAATCCCTCAAGTTTGGCTTCAAAGTGACCAACAACCAGGCGGAGTATGAGGCGCTTCTTGCAGGGCTAAGGCTGGCTCATGACCTCTGGGCTCAAAGGGTGAATTGCAACATCGACTCAAAACTCATGATAGAGCAGCTCAGCGGGACATACCAAGCCAAGGACGTTCTTCTACAACGGTATTTCCACATGGCATCACACCAGATCTCGTCCTTCGACGAGTTCACTATACAACATGTACCGCGAGAGAAAAATACCAGAGTTGACCTCTTATCAAAGCTCGCCAGTACCAAACACCCTGGACAACATCGGACCATTATCCAAGAAACCTTGCATTCGCCCAGCTTGGACGACAAGGTCGTCAACACCAGCGACAACGAAGAATAAGGGTGGATGACAGGTATTTGGAACTACTTGAAGTCAGGAACTTTACCCGAGGATAAAAATAAATCTCGGAAGATGAGGGTAAAATCGGCTAAGTTCGTAATTGTCGGAGATGAACTGTTCAAGCGCGGCATCTCCACCCCTTTGCTCAAATGCTTGACCACCCCTCAAGCCGCTTATGTCATCGAAGAAATCCACCGAGGTATATGTGGCATGCATTCCGGAGCGTGCTCGATGGAGACCAGGGTACTCCGAGCTAGATACTACTGGCCCACCTTGAAGTCGGATTGCCAAGCCTACGTGCAAAAATGTAAAGAGTGCCAACAGTTCGGTAACACACATCGACAGCCACCCGAAGCTCTCCACCAGATGATGTCTCTGTGGCCTTTCGCACGGTGGGGAATGGATATCCTGGGACTGTTTCCCCCCGCGAAAGGTCAGCTCAAATTTCTCCTGGTGGCAATTGATTATTTCACCAAGTGGATCAAGGCATGCCCACTCGCCAAGATCACCACCGACAATGTCCAAAAATTCACTTGGAAAAGCATCATATGCAGGTTCAGCATCCCTCAAAGAGTAAAGTGGAAGGAGAAGAGGCGCGAGAGCGAGAAAAGGGGTTTCTCCAAAATTCAAACGGCCACAACACGTGTCAGCCAAGGGGCACAACTGACGACACATTTAATGAGCCCATTATGACGAGCACAAGTCATCATTGCGTAACCGTCACTTCCCCGTAAGGCGCCGCCCACGCGTTATGGGAATGAGGCAACAATTATGACACATGGCATCTTGACAGACAGGCGTACGCAAAGGGTCACGACCCCTTAAGGAGCTCGGTTTTAACTCCTCGACCCACGGTCTTCGGAGCTCGGGGGGCTAGTGTACTATCAGTACCGTTATGCCGAGCTTGAGCTCGGCTTCACAGCGAAGGACGACCTCGGACACGCGCTAAGCTACGTCAGCTCGACATCAGAATAGATCATAACTAATCTCGGGCCCAAGGCCCAGTAAAACCCTAATCCACACAAAGGTACGTGCATTACTTATATGAGACTCATACTCCCACAAACACTAACTTTAGCATCAGAGTCTCTTTTCTAGGTACCACCCCCATCTTGGAGCATTAATTGTACCAGTGAAGGAGGCTCGCCGATCTTACCCAGCAGATCGTCCCCTACGACCGATCTCCGGTAAGAACACATACCTTTGTCAAACATAAAGCACGAGAGCAACAAATGGAAATGGAGGACGCGGTGAACACAATGCGAAGGGCCTCAACGGAGGTGGGGTAGCCATGATAGTGGATCTGGATGGAGGCGTAAGAGAGCAAAGACCAAAGGTGTGAGAGAGCAGAAATCAGAAGTGCAAGAGAGAATATAGAGCGAAGAGAATACAAAATGCAAGAAAAAAAATGATTTCTTTAATATTGTTCAAGGATATTTAAGATCGGTTATTTAAGAACCAATTTTAAATGTAGCACCAATAGAAACCTTTTAAGATCGGTTATTTAAGAAGTAATTTTGTATACTACATACAAAATTGGTTCTTAAATAACCGATCTTAAATGTAGCACCAGATAGACCTTTTAAAATTGGTTAATAATTAACTGATTTTAAAAGATCTTTTAAAATCGATCAAATTTTAACCGATCTTAAAAGTGGTGGCATTATTTACAAAAATGTCACCGTATCACTTTTAAGATCGATTTCCTGTTAATCGATTTTAAAATCCCGATTTTAAAAGAGTTTTTTGTACTAGTGTGATTCAATGACAAACTACAATATATTACTTTAAGAGAAGGATATTCTGTTCCTTTTGTTTTTTCTAAGCACAAGTCTAACAAAAAAGCATTTTTCATCAAAGTCTAAGAGAGAAATCAATTTGTATACACGAAAATCTAGAGGAACAAGTGATTAGAAAAGATCGGGATAAAATGATAAAAAAAGGAACAAAATAGATAGAAAAGATGAACTCACCTATGATAAAGTCTCCTTCACTAGTTTATCTTATCTTCTCCTCCCCAACACTTGTCAAACTAAACAAATGAGCTATCAAGGGAGGGGAGGGATGTTCAACCAAAATAAGGAGAGAGAGAGTGAGAAAAATATTTGTTTTACAAGTTTTTTACAAATTTAAGAGAGAAAAAATGACCAATTGTGTAATAGGAAAATTGAATAACTTGTAAATTAAGGGGTTAAAATAAAATTAAATGGTTCGTCTAACAACAACAATATAATGAGCCATGTGAAAGAGAAAATAATGGGTTTTGGGAGTGGTTTTTAGTACATGGTTATGTTTGGTAATCATGCCGTAACTAGTCTAGGACATGTAGTTAGGAAATTAGTTTGAATGTAACTAAATGATTTTAAGACAATTACTTAGTATTTTTGTTTGTTGGGGGCATGACACTTCCTAAATCGGATAGGGAAAATTAAATTTTAATTTGAGTATTAATAGATGATATATATCAAATTTAGAATTTTCTATCAAGAATTTAGAATTTTTAAAAAAATTTGAATTAATTAAATTTTGTTATCAGAAAAATATTCAATGAGTTTATAACTCATTAAAATGTCATGGAGGTCCCTAGAATATCTCTCTGAAGATAAAAACATTATTCTCTAAGCTTTTGATTTGTGTTATAAATACTTACTTTTTACAATGTAATGTCACACTTCTAGATTGTAAATTGTCTTATTTTTGTAGGATATTTTTACTAAAATTCACACAAAAAATAAACACATAATTTAATTCTTTCTTTACAAATAAAAAATAAAAACTTAAAAAGACAAGTTATTATTTACATGTAATAAATTATTATTCTAGTCACTTACACTACTGCAAAATAGAGTTATAACGTCATAATATTATTACACCAGTTGGGGTGTCACAAGAGGAGACAAAAAAATGAAATTGTTGGAATGGTGGGTGTGGCGAATTTTTTACATAAATAATATATTTTTTTTAAATTACAATCAAATTTTTTTTTGGTGCTCAGAATTCGGTTCCCGGGGAACCGAATTCTGAGTTGTTTTAATTTTTTTTTTTTTTTTTGCGTTTGTGGCCTAGTTTGGGTTAATTTGGGAAGTGGAACGGCTTGTTTCACTTCCCAGATTCGCCCAAACTGGGCCACAAACGCAAAATAAAATTAAAAACAACTCAGAATTCGATTCTCCGAGAACCGAATTCTGAACACAAAAAAAAAAATTAAAGCTCAGAATTCGGTTCCCGGAGAACCGAATTCTGAGCATGAATAGTGATTGGTTCTAGTTGAATAGATAAAGTTGCACAGATGTTACTTTTGTAATTTTTTAAAAAAATATATTATTTATGTTAAAAATTCTGGGTGTGGCTAGTGCATGTGGTAGTACAAAAATGTCGCAAAATTTTATTTTATTTTATTAGTTAAATATAATCGATATAGAAAATCTATCTTTTATCCATTGTTGACATCGGCATCAGTTATAAAGTCAATATAGAATGTATTTTTTAAATTGATGTAAAAGCTATTTCCATACCAGTATTATTTACATATTATAAAAAGACAAGTCTTACATTTCCAATTAGCACAGTTCAAATGAATTAAAAAAAATTTCGAACAATATCCAAATAATAAAAAGTAAAAATAAATATAAAATTTCAGTATCAAAGTTTCATCATAAAAAGTCAACCAAAAATAGTATCAAAATAAAATAAGAACAAAGAACAAATTCAACTAAGAACATAAAGTCAAGTTTGAAAATATAAGAATAATATAAGAATTATTTGAAAATACAAAGCAAATTTTCAACATCAAAATTCAAATTAAAAAACATAAAAAAGAATAACTAAAAATACATGGTAAATTTGACTAAGCACTACAAGAAAATGACGATTTTGTAATAGTTATATGGCCTACATTACTATGGTTAAAACTGCTGCAAAGACACCATTGCGACGGTTCATCAACTTTCGCAAAAATGTCTGTCACGAGTGAATTTTGCGACGGTTACTGGAACCGTTGCACAAACCGTCGTAAAATTAGAATTATGACCCTTAAAGCACCCATCGCTAAATATTTATTTTTTATTTTATTAAATTTTATAGACATCTCAAATTCAGTCGCTATTCTTAAGGATTTTATTTCACAATACTTCACTTTTTAGCATGTTTTGTCTTTACTTATACGATTTCTGGGAAACTTCCCAGAAGGTCACCCATCCCTATATTTCTCCAAGTCAAGCACACTTAAACTGTGGAGTTCTGGTGAGATAAGCTACCGAAAAACAAATACATGTTGTCAGTATAAGTAGTACAAATTAATTCATTTA